CTGATTTTTATGGGGTTTTTTCATATAAATTTTAATTTTTCACTTCCATTTCACCATCTGGGTGCTACTTTCAACTTGAGTCTGCTACCTTTAGCTGTCTCACTGAAAACTTCGGCTGTTTTACCTATTGCAATTGAAATTATCACTTTCTCTGATTTTTATGGGGTTTTTTCATACTAATTTTAATTTTTAACTTCCATTTCACCATCTGGGTGCTACTTTCAACTTGTGTCTGCTACCTTTAGCTGTCTCACTGAAAACTTCGGCTGTTTTACCTATTGCACTTGAAATTATCACTTTTTCTGATTTTTATGGGGTTTCTTCCTACTAATTTTAATTTTTTAACTTCCATTTCACCATCTGGGTGCTACTTTCAACTTGAGACTGCTACCTTTAGCTTTTAGCTTACGTTTTGCGCAACAGGCATTCACCCTTGCATTTTCGTAGGAAATGCAAATTCTCTAGTTAACATTTGAGGATAGCTTAATTTGAGATTAGCATCTGCAAATCCGTATGTGATCATTCTAAAGTACTCCACAACAAATTTAACCTCAATAAGCCTTAAAGTAGCTGAATTACAGCTTTTTTAAAGTTAGCTGTGGTGGCCATCGTGGATTTTTGATTAGCAATTAGAATGTGACCATTGTTTTTGGCTAGCTCTACACAAATCTTCAGTTTTGTATGTCTAAAAATGGTTGAATAATAAGCTGTGGCTAGCATTCATTGTGTTTTTTTACCATTAGCTATGACAACACAAAGGTTCAGCTCAATATTTCTTCAAACAACTGAATTAAAGCCATTTAACAGCGGTGGCCATCTTGAATTTTCAAATCCAAAGAGCTTTTATTTATTTGTATGCGCCCCCTTAAAAAACACCTTGCAAATCCCTTGAAAAGATGTTGCTGCTCTGCCTCGTATCCATCTGCATTTATAGAGAGCACCTAAATAGTTATCCTCAATACATGCTCGAAAAATTACACAATATAGCAAAAGATTATGCACATAATTTGCAGGTTTGGTAAAAATGGCTACACGTCATCCAGAGATGATCTAAGTCTAAAACTGAAAACAGCAGGTGAAATGATCAAGAAAAGCTAAGCCTTTACTCACAATGCAGAAATATATTGTTGCATCAGATCCAGTCCTGACATGGCATTCAGAAATATCACTATCACCTTTTTTCATCTGTGCAAACAAAAAATATTAGATCTGTGTCAGAAGTCACCTATTCCATTGGTGTTTTTCTAAAATTAGAGCTCCATATGTTCATTTGACTGGCTTAAGTTTAACCCACATGAGTCAGTTTGTCAAGATACATATTTCAAAATGAAAACCAATTTTGCACCATATCTGCCTGAAGATATACGACGAATGGGAACTTGGAATGAGTGGGAAGGCACAGGGAGTACCTTCATTATGTTTCAGAGCTGAGAGAAAGTTTTAAGCAACCTGAGCTTGATTATGCGTTGAAAACACAATTCTGTCTGAGGTAATCAGAAGAGAAGAGAAACAAACGGACCGAATCCGAACCATGGACAACACGATTGCTGTGAGATGGGCAGGAGGAGTATTTGCAGCACAGCAACGGGGGATAAGGTGAGGAGAGCGATCTCACCAGAGGCGAGCGGTTTGCACGCCACTCAGCCGAAAATGAATGGCTGATCTGTGTTTCCACACACACGCACGTTGTTTAAAGCCCCTTGGTTGTTTACCTTCAAAGGCTTTTCAAACTCAAGAACCACAAAGGAGCTTTTTGAAGCATCTCCTGGTGTTTCAATAGGACAGCCGAGTGCCACGAAATCCCCCCCAACTTGCAGATCCTCCTGCATCCATGCTGCTTCACAGATGTGTTATTAAAACTGGACCTTGCCTTTTTTTTCCCCCTCAAAGATTAAAGTCTTACATACGCCGGACACGTTGTAAACACTGCAAATATTTGTTTTGTTGGATTATCTTTGTGGATGCTTTGCTTCTTTCCCAGCGTTTCCTATTTTGTTGCGCAGCCATAACCAAATCCCTTAAATACTGTAAAATTCTGATGAAAGCTACAAGAGGAACAACAGGAAATGCATTTGATTGGCGCAATGTACCAGATCAAACCCAATATTGTTCAGAGGAATACATGAAAGAGGAGGTTCTCTGAAAGGCAATTGATAAAGGGATTATTTGACAGCTGCTTTTTGGCAGAACGATTACCCGTTCATAGAATTAAAAAAAGGGGATTTCAAGATGCACGCACACCCGTGTGTCCGTAAAGCACCGCAAACAGCGAGCAAACAAAGCGGTGCCTAAATGCACATCCTTTGCATCATATTGGAGAGAAGCCCGGAGATCCCACCGGAAACCTCTCACCAGGACCCGTATCAAAAGTGCGCTGCTGCAGCGCGGCTCGCTCCTCGGGGAATTCTTTCCACAACCGTACAGCTGAGAACAGAGGCACGTATTGTCAAAGCGGGCTTCAATTCGACTTATAATCTCATTCAGTGACAAAAACATGTCAATCCGAACGGCTTGAGGTGACACATTTAAAGTTTTAATGAAGCTGTGGAAGGATTCTGTCAGTCACTGCGGACGTTTAAGGATGTGCTTATCTGCATGTTTAAGACGCAAAGCAGAAGACAGCAGCTTTGGTTGAAAGCTGCCAGCTAATGTTTCTCCAAATGTTCATTATTTTGTGATATTAGCAGAAATGTGGGGCATATTCTTTTTTTTACTGTCAGAGCTGCGACAAAAACGTTAGAGCAGAAAACTTAAAAAAAGGAAGAAAAATAAGTTCAGACGGTGTCAAAGACTGAACTCGGTTATACAGTGCAGAGTATTTTTAAAGTGAGCTATAGTTTGGGAGCTTGAAGAAAACACGTTTGCTGGTAAAGAGATGAGGCTTAAAGCGTGGATTAGGGGAGGGATGGAGAGCCTAATGGTGGTAGATGATAATAGCATTACAACCTGGTGAGACAGAAGTCCACACAGCGGGCTCATGGTGGCTGTGGGATGCTGAGACTGACACTCAGCAGCTGACTCATACTGAAGCTGAGCAGAGGGGCGAGGATCACAAGACTTCTGCTTGGCTGGAAGGGAAATAAACGTGGCACTGAGTCATTTTTTCCAAGGAGTTTTAATGGTTTTAATCAGTTCATTAACTGGAAACAGTTGATAGACATCACTGAAAGACTATATGGAACCCGCAGTGTTATATATATA